CTTTCGGGGATAGTTTTCAGTGAGCAATGAACTAGCGTCCTTGTCCAATTTGGCGGCTTTGGATATTGTTCTATTAAATATGGACTTCTGGCCGAGAGGTATTGAGAAGGTGAAAAAGTTCAATATAGTTGTTGGCGATTACTTTGGTGGCATCCCTGACCCTCGTTATTCGTTATCAAATAAGTTGGATCTCCAAGGTCAAAACTTGAGTGACATTGAAACGAGGTTTGATTTGCTGTTGAAGAGAACTGAAATTCTTATTTTAACCGCAACTGCAGTAAGTTTGAAAATTCTCTGTGATTTGGTCGACGAAGATGGTTTTGAATGCTTAATGAAATTGACACTAGACTACTTGACTGAATTGGAATACCTCATCAATACAACAGATGGGGTTCCCCAGAGTGCTTTTCCTGTGAGTGTCTGTATCTTCGTAATCTATATAATTTCAAAGGGATTACTAGCCATGAATGTCATGAATACCGACTACCGAACACGGCTTTCCGTGCATTGAAAGAGTTGGTACTATATTTCTTGCCTGAATTGACAAATATGTGGAAGGGTCCCACCCAACTTGTATGGCTCGGCAACCTGACGTCTGTAGATGTGTTCTGGTGTCATAAACTACAAACTACGTTCTCACTTTCCATAGCTAGAGATCTAAGGAAACTGCAGGACGTTCGGATAACTCACTGTGGCATGATGAAAGCAATTGTTTCAAGTGAAAAATGATTTATATTTACGAAAATTATAAAAATTATATAATTAATTATTATAAATTATTATTATATATAAAAATTATATTATTTCAATGCTTGAGTGTTGTGGGTGTGGCCATTGGTGTGTGTGTCATTGTGTGGGTTGGCTTTGGTTGGTAGTAGAAACGCCATAAATTTTGCACTAAAAAAAAAAAAAAAAAAAAAATGGAAAAAGTAACTGATAGTGTGTTAACAATAAGATAAGACTCCAAAAGCAGATAAGGAAAAATTTGAAAAGACTTCGGCAATATTCGTATGATCTTGGCTAATATTCGTATGATCTTGTTCAACATTCTTGTGTTGAGTTATAGGAGAAGTTAGACGATAGTTTGCCAAGACTGCTTCTGCATAGCAACTCAAAATCCCTAGTCATACACACTTCCATCCCCGATAAACTGGATTTCACATTATAGATAATAACATATCCATCTAATTTTATCTTAGCGTCCAGCTGCAATGAGTCAACATGGATAAATCACCCAAATAAAGATTGGATGTGCAGTGGGTTTCAAAAACGTATCAGACACAGCTGGTTGCACGGGTATCTACCCAACTTCCCATTAGTGGTATCATGGATTTTGCCGTGAAAACTTACTGTCTGGGATCATTACACGGGTTTGCTATGTAAATGAAAACATTAAAAAAATTTCGGTAGAAACTTTGTTTTATATATTGAAATTGTTGTAATTATTAATTACTCTATTATTCTCAGTGGAATTGCGCTGTTTGGTCTAGCAATATGATTTGTTTGTTTCACTGTTAATTATAGATGGTACAAAGAGATTGGTTTGTGGCTTTATTTTCAAGTTTCATTTAGTTTTGTTCTCTTTTCTATTCTTTCTTTTCATGTCAAAAGATAATTGATGTCATTTAAAATTGTAAAATTTTAAAAACCATGGCAAGTTTATGTCTTCTTTAACCAAGAAATAGCATCATCACATTCTACTATGTCAATTTGTTATTGATTTTCCTTTCAATCTCTGTTGCATTCCTTTGGGAAAGTGTAGAACTTTGGGTCATTGGTGTATATAGATGATGCAGAATTTTGTACTTGTAAATGGACTTTGTATGTAATTTGATAATGTAAATTTGAGTTAAGATAGTGCCTTTCACACTTATTGGTGTATATAGATGATGGGGAATTTTGTACTTGTAAATGGACTTTGTATCTAATTTGATGATGTAAATTTGAGTTAAGCTAGTGCTTCTTTCACATATGCTTGCTTGATAAGTGTGTTTGGATTGAGTCAAAGTTTTATCAGATGACAGTTAGCTTGCATACTAACTCTCAATTCTAATTGGTCAACTAAACAATTTATCTGAGGTATTAGATTCTTTAAATATAATATTTCGCGTGTTGAATTATTGTAATTGAGACATGAGAATGCAGCAATTGAGTATCTGCCCCTTTTGTTTAGACCCTCTTAAGGTTTTTAAATTTTATTTTGGTTGTGCACATGGGAAAGTTATTGAATGTTTTGTCAATATATGTTTGTTATATGGACTTATCACAATGGTTTTTGAATCTGTCCTGTTTGCAAGGTAGAGTACCATCGGAAGAAACTTTTTTCTCTCTCCTGATATTCAACAATGATATGCGAGAGAGTAATGTGTTATGTGTATCTGTTACACTGTATTTGGTTATAAATCTGAAGTGCTTGTAACAGATCCATAGTTCATTTGAAAAATTTAAGCAACATGAGAAAAAAAAATTATAGGTTGTGGGATGAAACTTCCTTGATTTGTCTTCTTTATTTATTTATTTTTTGAGAAACACCGAATAAATAGAGATATAAGCTTGTTCAATGGTTTGAAATTATGTGCCTTAGATATGTTTTAATTAACCAATGTATTTTAATTAACCAATGTATGGTTTGAGACTAGAATCTGCTTTGCATTTTGAAAATGAAGTGCTCGTGACTTAGATCTGTATGCATTCAGACTGATTACTAAGGTGACCGAGTTATGGGTACTGTCATGTTATGGAATTGATTCTAGTCCAAAATAGAAGAGCAAGTGGTATCATGGATTTTGTCGTGAAAACTTACTGTCTGGGATCATTACACGGGTTTGCTATGTAAATGAAAACATTAAAAAAATTTCGGTAGAAACTTTGTTTTATATATTGAAATTGTTGTAATTATTAATTACTCTATTATTCTCAGTGGAATTGCGCTGTTTGGTCTAACAATATTTCGCGTGTTGAATTATTGTAATTGAGACATGAGAATGCAGCAATTGAGTATCTGCCCCTTTTGTTTAGACCCTCTTAAGGTTTTTAAATTTTATTTTGGTTGTGCACATGGGAAAGTTATTGAATGTTTTGTCAATATATGTTTGTTATATGGACTTATCACAATGGTTTTTGAATCTGTCCTATTTGCAAGGTAGAGTACCATCGGAAGCAACTTTTTTCTGTCTCCTGATATTCAACAATGATATGCGAGAGAGTAATGTGTTATGTGTATCTGCTACACTGTATTTGGTTATAAATCTGAAGTGCTTGTAACAGATCCATAGTTCATTTGAAAAATTTAAGCAACATGAGAAAAAAAAATTATAGGTTGTGGGATGAAACTTCCTTGATTTGTCTTCTTTATTTATTTATTTTTTGAGAAACACCGAATAAATAGAGATATAAGCTTGTTCAATGGTTTGAAATTATGTGCCTTAGATATATTTTAATTAACCAATGTATTTTTTATTTGCTATTTTAGTTACTTTAGCATCTTGCCTTTCTCAATTCCTCTATGTTTTTACCAGATTTCCTGATGATAGAGCATATTCTAGCATGAGCATACAGCAAATAGACAACAGTATTTCCCTGCTCATCAATAAGTTTAGACAAGTAAGAAATGAATGGAATAGTCACAGTAACAATGGTCAAATAGTAATTGACTACCCAAGTGTTTAGTGTTCAATGAGTTATTTGCTTATTTGTTTATTTTATTTACTTAACTTGTTCACATATTTAATTGCTTAATTATTTAATTTTCTTATTTATCTTAAGATTTTGGTTGCCTTTCATTTATAGGAGACAAAAAAGAATAATGGGGTTCCTGCTAGTCGGTCACAAGTGTGGATGGCCGCATACATGAAAGATGGGATGTCAAATAGTGATTCAGTTAATGAGGTTATGGTATGTGATACTACTTTATCTTTGGACTTTTAATATGATTTATATTTATATTGGAGGCTAATTATTGAATTCAAACTTGCAGACTCAAATGAATGAGTTAACAGAGCACGTGGAGGGATCTTCTACTGACCCTGCAGCATTACAGGAGCAAATCTTCACACAAGTTATGGGCCCAGAGCGGCCTGGCCGTGTTCAGATGTTTGGATTGGGACCGTCACCCACTGATGTTTTTGGAGGTGGATATAGGCGGTCACAAGAGCAGAATCGTCTCTTCCAAACTCAAGTTCAGGAACAAGTTCAAGAGCAACTTCATCGGTATCAAATGCAGTTTGAGTCGAAGATGAATGAAGTAATGGAGAAACAAATTCAGGCTATACGCACAGATTTTCAGTCACGAATTCAGTTTTTGGAATCTCAATTGCAAGCTGCAGGCGTGCCCGTTGATCCAGTTGTTGCACCATCAAACCCATTACATAGGCAGCAGGTATTTTAATTATTCTTACTAGTTATTACTTTAAATTGCCTAGAGTTAATATACAACTTAAGTCTCTTATTGAATGATAGGTTGTGGATTCACTTAGTAGTCATCTCACTGTTCGACCAATGTCACATCAACAATAATCTCATGCATTTTCATCCCAAGAGGTGAGCAATCATTTAATCAAAGCTTTTTTGACAAATAACATATCTTATTAATTACAATACTTGCTCTTATTAAATATAGGTTCACCTTTCAAAGAAAGAAAAGAAGAAGAAGAAGAAGAAGAAGAACTAACAAGGTAAACGTACTAATATCACTAGTTCGTGGTTTATGTTCATTTGATTTGTAAGGCAGCGGCATTAGTGAAACAGCTATTAGTAGCAACAGCATGAGCTGCAGCTGCAAGTAGTCCAATGTGCATGCTATCACTAGATAAATTTGACAGTTTGCTGCTGTTTTTGTCGAACTTTGTCTGCTTGATGCAAGAATGCTATGCTTAGGTGCTAGATTGTTCATGACTGCCATGGTTAGACTGCTATGCTTGACTATTTTTTTCCACACTCTCTCTGTTTATGGTTTTTATGTTTTTAGAAGAGCTTGTGTTGTGTGGGTTTGTTTAGGTGTGTGTGTGTGTGAAGAAGATGTGTCATTTTGTCAAAGATATTTTCTCAAAATATGTTGAAATGTATAGTCTGTTCAGTGCATGACTTACAAGCATAAGGTCTTACAAAATAAAAAGTCAACCTTATAATTAATCACCCTTTGAGTTTTCTGAGATAGTGTTAACCTGGAATAATATGTTTGAATGTCCTATAATGATTTTTGAGCTTTCTCAACTATGTTTGGATGGCTGGAATATTAAGGCAGAATGAGAATCTCATTTTGGGTTATCACAACATGAAATGCAAATATCATGAAAAGAAGTTACACTGCAATTACATGGTTGTTTGATGTATTAAAATTCATAATGATGAAATACTCAGGACAAAGTTAGCAAAATTGATGTCATGAGTTTTGCTGATCAATGAACTGCAGCTGCATTATTAGGCAAGGCAGCTGCATTATTAGGCAAGGCAACTGCAGCTGCATTATTCCTCATCATATAGTCTCACATGAACACTCACATTTGTGACTATGCATGTGGAACGCAAAATATAAGTTACAACTCTATCAAACTATGGGGGTTTTTCTTTCTGTATGTTGATCTTGTTTAGGTATACTTTGTCTTCATTTTTTTATCTGCCATTCCATTTATATTTCTTTTCTCTATTAATAAATTGAAAAACATCTATATTTCTGAAACCCAAATATTTGTGTAAAGAAAAAGTTGTTAAGAACCTACTGTTCTACTCAAGTATCATCATAAATAAATGCACTTGAGCATCCACATTTTATTGTCCCTATTGATGGTTACTAGCAGAAAATTCAGGTTGAGGGGATTTCTGGAGATTCGGACACAAGAAAACCACAGGCTGATTCCTTTGTTGGAACTAAAAACTCCTCAGTAGTGTAACCATAGTGACAGCACATAAGCAAGCAATGAGTACTGTCTAGAAGAGATTGACTTCTCATGGTTGCATCTTGCATTTGCAGCCAGGATTTGGTTGTTAACACACGGCTGTTTTGAAATTTTCATTTTATAGTTTCAGGATTTATAGCCAGTGACATTGTTTATTGTTTGTTGGAGGTTATGTGGAACTTTGTAGGGACATAGTCTGACATTGAATTGGGTTATAATACTCTCTTCTCTTTTGATAGTCTGACATTGAACTGGGTTATAATACTCTCTTCTTACAAGTGTAGTTGACATTGCATATTAAGAGATTGCATGCGTATAGAAAAACAAAGAGAATGCTAATAATCTTACTGACAATTAGTGGCTTATAGGAAAGTTCATTCAGTGTTCTTCTAAAGATATAAATATAGGAAAGAGAATGCTATAGATATGTGATACTCTTGAGTAACTTGAGTATTTCATGTGTCAATAAGCTTGTTTTGACATCTATAGCAGTATCATAGATTTTACACAAGTCTCATTTCTGGTGGTGATAAATGTTTCATCCAGATAAGCAGTTAGTTTACATGTTACATGTTGTCAGGCTGAATGATGAATTGTGTAAGCTTTTAATAATCTTTGGTCGTCATGAACCATGCCATGGAAGATGTACTGCCAGAATTTTGGGTCAAACCTAGTGCCAATCGGTGTTTACCAGTATTACTCTGATCAGGCTTCAAATAGCTCCAATATCACTGTCTTTTTGGGATTCGAGGGGTCAAGAGCCTAATCATGTACCCTCTCACAATATCTTGTTGATAACTCTACTTGTGGTTATGCTTTACCAGATCTAAGTTTGGTGAGTTAAAGGTGTGGAAAAGCCCATATCAGTGTTTCTCTGGAGATACTTGGTTGGTACCCAACTTCTTGGGCCATAAGCCTAGTTTCAATGGGAACGTGCTAAAACCTTCAAGCATCAGTTGCAGGTTTGCTGAAGTAGTGCATCTGCCTTTTACATTATGTTATGTTTGTTGCACTGAATTACATTAGTTTCAATAGGAACGTGCTTCAACCTTCAAGCATCAGTTGCAGGTTTGCTGAAGTAGTGCATCTGCCTTTTACATTATGTTATGTTTGTTGCACTGAATTACATGCCTTACCCACCACCTGGAATAAGACCCGGAACTCCTCCAGACTTGAGGCACTGGCCAGCGATGGTGTCTCCTTCACTCCCAGTTTGTTTCCTTCTGGCAAAAGCTACATGGACAATGTAAAAACATGGTTTTTGGAATTGGATATGTTATTTTGTGGGTAATGGTGATTGGATATTAATTGAATGAGAAACTGAATTAATGCTTTATTTGTTATTTGAATGTGAGTTACTATTTTATCTGTTAGTTTTATCACAGGTATTTGAATGGGAGTTAATATTTTGTACGTTAGTTTTATTACAAGTATTTTTTTATTAATTGAATGAGAAACCAAATTCAATATTTTCTTACAGGTATTCTTTTTAATTTAATCAAATAAAATTAGCACAATCTCACCAAAAAAAAAAAAAAACAAAAAATAAGATATGACGGCGTTTCTACAAACGCCTCCTAAACCCTCAATAGTGACGGTCATATTTTTTACACAGATACAACGGCGTTTCAAAAACGTCGCTAAATATCGTTGGTGACGTCAGCGTGTGTATAGTGAGACATTTTGCGGCGTTTTTTAAAACGCCTCCTATAATAATATCACGACGTTTTTAAAACGTCGCAATGCTACAGCGACGGCCGCAGCTTCGACGTTTGGTACTAAACGCCACAAAATGAATTAACGGCGTTTTTGACAGATATAGCGGCGTTTTTAAAACGCCGCTAAAAGCCCTATTTCCAGCAGTGTCTCTTTTCTTTTTCTTTTTTTTCCTTTGAAAATTCAAGTTTTGCATGGAAAACATGCATGTATAGGGCTCAGTTGGAGAGTTGGCTATATTAGTTGTCTTTTAAATTTTTTGATTATTTTAACCTTGCTAAAAAGTTATATTTGGAAAGTTGATTTTCTATTTTTATTTTTATAGTTGATTTGATAGTTGTGAGAAAAAAAAATGAAATGCTTATGCTTTAAACATATCATTTTGTTTTATTAGTTATTTTAATTTATTTTATCATTATTGATTATTTTAACTAAAAAAGTCATTATCAAATAGGACCATAATGCTTAAGGTTAGGTGACATGAATTTGAGTGAAGCCAATCTTTGACAGTAAGATTTTATATAAAAATGATTAAGAAGAAAAAAATAGAAAAAGAAAAAAAAGAGTGAAATTATGTTTGATTTGATTTTCAAAACTAGTTTTAGAAACATTTTCCAAAAATCTAAAAATTAAATTGGTGAAATAAATTAAAAAACACATATCATTTTTATATAATTTTGTCTTTTGGGAGGTCAGAAATAATTTTTAAAAATTTAAAATAATATTTTTGATATTTATTTTTATCAAACTAGCTTCCATTTTTTTTTAAAAAAAAAAAAATTGAAACACAAACCAAACAAGGCATGGGTCTTTTAATTTTATTTTTTTTGGTTATTTTTTATATATTTTCAACAATAATAAGTTTAAAAAATGACATTTTTCAGTGTTTTGATTTAGCAAATAATTTGGAACTCATTCATCAGTTTTTTGCATACCCAAAAAAAAAAAAAAAAATCAACAAGATTGGAAAAACGTAAAGCAGTTCATGGACTTTCATTTTTCCAATATTAATTAATTAAGTATAGTGTGCATCAAAAGAATTAGATAAATAATATAAATTGTAGGATGGAGTGCTTTCGATCTTTTTGTTTTTACTGTTCCCCTACTCAAAGAATGTGTTACTTTTTTTATTGATTCATGCTCATAAGACATCAAAGTTTTTATTTTTAGAATCCATATTTTTGTAGTTGTGTTTGGTTTTCATTACGAATGATAGAAGAAACTGTTAGAGTTATATGAATAATTTGAAAAGAGAAAATTGGAAAAAGCCTCGCCAAACTAATTTCTTGATAATTTAAACTTAAAATTTTTTGATTTATGTAATTCAATTTTTTTTAAAAATATTTATTTGAGTAAAGGGTAAATCTCATAAAGTATACACAAAGATGTATCGTGGTGGGACAAAGAGTTCCATTTAAATAGCTAAAGGCTAAAGCAAGTCACATTAATTTTTTTTCAAAAACCAAAGGGTAATCCCATCTTTTTTTTCTAACTTTTGACCATTAAAATGAATTTAAAATTTCATGGAAAAGAGTTCTTAGGCCTCGTTTGGGAACAAATTAATTTAGAATTTTTTTGGCTATTTAGTTAAAATATGAACAAAAAAAAATTAGTATATTTGGAATAACTTTTTGACTTTTTACGAAAAGATGTGTAAAAAATAGAGAGAAAATAAAATTTTTAAATTTTTGGTATGAATTGTTGACTTTTTTATTTTTTTAATAATTTTTTAATTTTTTAACTAAACCGATCATTTTCCAAACGAAATCTACGTAAGTGTTATCTAACCAACTCGTCTAGTTTTTTTAAGATGAAAACCAACCGGGCTAGTTTAATTGTTCATTGTCATAATTTTTGTCCTTAAAAAAAGATTAAAAAAATATTTCTTCTTATGAGTTCCTGTTA